CGTGAGCTCAGGAGTCCACCCACTCCTCCTGTATGGATTCAGCTCAGGTGCCCAGGTAGATAGCCACCAAGTGTGTGGTGTAGGCTCTCGCCTGCAGCCCTAGTCAGGCGTGGGTGATTGGTGTAGGCACAGGCATCTGGCTGCATCAGGGGGACACACTCTGAGTAAGGCATAGGGCTGACAGCTGCCCCAGAGTGTCCAGGAGGAAGGCGTGTCCCTGTTCCCTAGAGCGCGTAGGTGGGTGGATTTTGCAGCCGGACTATGAGCACCTAATGCTGTTGGCTGTAAGGACTGGGGGGACCTCTTAGTCATTGGCCCCTACCACAGGTGGCTAGGTGGCGTGGGTGCAGCCACCAGTCCTCAGGTCCCTGATGTGGGTAGGTGAAGACCCTGCTTAATGGGCAGAGCAGTGTCAAATGTCAAGCACCTGCCACTTCACAGCTGAAACAGTTGAAGTTAGACTTCAGTTATATACCCTGTTGTACAGCAGTAATGAGGGCCTACACTGTTGAGATGGGCCCACACAAGTCTACACAGGCGGAAAGGCACTCAACATCCATGGATCCCTTATGCCTGTGCCTAGGCAAAGGAGCTGTGCCTACCTTGGGTTCCTGGCTTAGGGGAGCCAGCAGTTTATTTTTTCCTCTGTTTGTTAATTTCTTCACTCTCCAAGGCAGGGAGAATGGCTCTGGGCGTGTGATGGATCCTACCTCCGGCCCAGGGGACTCAGCAATTGCTGAAGCCGGTCCCGCACCCAGTGCAGAGCAGGAAGTGGGGGGGTATATGGGAGAGAGGTTTTCCCCTAAGGGGAGTGTTTTTGATCTGCATGGTAAGCTGTATGCGAGTACTTATCTTTCTCTGATGAGGGCTGCTTCTCACTGGTTCTGGGTGGCTGTGTAGACTCTCTGGCACCGTGTCTCTCCTAGTGTGGAAAACATGCGTCCTGAGCACCGCCACTTGCCTACCTCATGGCTTACCCACGAGCTTCTCAGGCCTGAAGGGCTCAGGCTCTCACCAGGTCAGGTCTGGCAACTCCTCTCTCCTTCCGAACTGTCTCTCCCTCCCCCTGCCACTCAGTCCAGTTCCTCAACTCTGCCTTTGATGTTCAGGGCTCCCAGATTGCCATATATAATTGAATCACTTGTTTTTTTGGGTCTTTGTTGTAAGAGGGTCCACCAGCAGCATCTGGCTACTCCGCCACCTTGTCCTCGCCTCTTTTTTTTTTTAAGATGAAAAAATAAAAGCACCACATTTTCTAAGATCACAGCCAAATCACAGGGTTAAGGCAATCAGAATCTAATTCAAGCCAAATATTTTCTTTTACCTAAATTACCCGTCTCTTTTATTACCGTTGAGGGTAATTGGCTGTTTTCAACTTAGCCTGGTTTATGAGTACTGAAGGCATAATGCCAGGCCTAAAGGAAAATATTTCAGTTTTTTTCATGAGCATAAAAAAAAAAAAAAATCCTTAAAGCAAACTTCTCTTATAGGAAAGAATGTTATTGTTGTTTTGTGCGATTAATTCGGTTCCGACTCATAGCGACCTTATGTATAACAGAACGAACCACTGTCCAGTCCTGCACCATCCTCATAATCGTTGCTGTGTTTGAGCCCATTGTTGCAGCCACTAAGTCAATCTATCTCGTTGAGGGTCTTCCTTTTTTGCTGACCCTCTACCAAGCATGATGTCCTTCTCCAGGGACTGAATAGCCCTGTGTAATATGACAATTTATCAGTAACAAAAAACAGTATCTGACATGCTAAGGCATTTTAGAATAAATAGACATAATTGGTGTAAGTTTTTAAACCATGTAATGAAATAATGACTTCATTAGTTTTTTGTGGGAAGGCTTCAAAGTTCACAATCACAGTTGCCAGTAGCTTGGGCAGAGGATCCATGGCTGATGTGTAATCTTAGAAAGAACTCTTGCCAGCATTACCTTCTTAACTCAAAAGAAAATAATTTTTTGTTTGTTATTTTCAATTGTAGTCAATTGTCTGAGGCTGTGAGGAATGTGGTCTTCTGAAAGGAAAACAACCAAGCATTAGGAAGCTTCCAGCTGACAGCCTCAAACCTCTCCACTTTCCTGGCCCTCTGCTTGAACAGCAGTTCATGATTCTCCATTGTGAACTCTAGAGAACATCACCGACCCCTTGTGTCTGAGGCCCTTTCAGCATTATAATCTCTCTACTTTGCTATTAGTGTGAGTAGAGAGAGGGATTTCAAAAAGAAAGTAAGTTAGGTTGTCAAGAGGCTGTATTTTAGGGGGATATCTAGGAGAGCCATATTTTTTAATCTGCTTTTTGTAACTTGATGAAAATATTAAATAGTAGTTTCCCCAGTTTCTAAAATCTTAATTTGATGGCCAGACAGACTGGAAGCAATTATGTCTTGCAGCTTATTCACGGGGGTCTGTGGGAATGCTGACAGTTTTAATTTACATATTAATGCTGGAAAACATTTTGAGGGGCAAAGAAGAGCAGTCTTTGGTCTTAGTAATGAATAGAATAAGAAAAAAAAAAAAAAACAGAAGAAAGTGGTTGAAAGGCTCTAGGCAAAATGGTCTGGGTCTATTTTTTCTGTAATAATTTCAAACTATCCATCATTTACTGTAATAAGATACTATTCTGATGATGGAGTTGCACAGTTTTTTTTTTAATGCTAAAGATGACCATTCCTTGGCTGAGTGTGTTCAACAAAAGGTTAAAAATCAAAGTTAACAATCCGTCTGTCCCAATTTCAACTCTTTCTTCGGAACAACTCCTCATTCTTTTGCTCAGTTTCTTGCCCCACCACCCACCTAGAATACCTATCTTACCAAGTCACAGGATTAAAAAAAAAAAAATCAAACAGAAAAACCAACACCAAAATAAAGGAATTGTTTTCAATTATTAGGTTAGATAAAACAGCCCATTTGGACACCTGTTCATTGGAATTTATTTCTGTCTCAGCCCCAGTTCTTTGAAATATGCAGGAATTTCTTTTTTCATTAAAATATTAGCCTGACCCAAGAATGATGAAAAGTTCATTGCCTTATGGTTATTGCAGTCTGAGACCTCCCAATAGATCTAAAAAATTAGATTAAATGTAGCAAAATATGAAGAGACACAGTATGCAAGTCACTTAATAACTATAGTTGCATAGAATTTACTCACTTATCAAGTTAGTTTTCTCAATGAAATTTTGTGAAGCAAAATACATCATTAGGGTGCTTCAAAGAGTAGTTAAATGGTAGATTAGCTCCAATACATTAAGGAAGACAGGAGAATGCACAATAATTCTATGAGGTAGGTCTTATTATCCCCATTGAACAGATGAGGGAAATGAGGCTCAAATAGATTAAGTACCCTACCAAAGGTCCCACAGCCATGATTGATAGTGTCTTGCTGTTGTTGTTGTGTGTCGTTGAGTCTATTCCGACTTATAGCGACCCTACAGGACAGAGTAGAACTGCCCCATACGGTTTCCAAAGCTGGTGCATTCAAACTGCCGACCTTTTGGTTAGCAGCCTGAGCTCTTAATGACTTCACCACATCTTGCTAGGCATTGCAAATTTGGCCACTTTTAAAGGCAGAGAGTTTTGAGTACTAGCCATTACTTACAGAATGAATACATTAATATGATTAATGTCAAAATATTTCACCTATATGAGTATCATAGATAGTTTAAGGAAAACCAAGATTAGGGACTCCAGATTTATACAGACCCCTTTCTAATACAAAATACTCCTAATTCCTAATTTTCCCGGTCTATTACTGGGGGGAGGAAAGGGGATCTTACTACAGTTTAAAAAAAAAAATCCGACAGCAATTCTACTCCTAAGTCTTTAGGTACCCAAAAGAATTGAACTCAAACAAATACTTGTACATGAATGTTCACAGCAGCATTATTCACAATGGCCGGAAGGTGGAAACAACCCAAGTGTTCATCAATTGATGAGTGGATTAAAAAAAGTGGTATACACATAGAATGCAGTATTATTCAGTCATAAAAAGGAATGAAGTCCTGATACATGGATGAACCTCGAAAACATTATGCTAAGTGAAAGAAGCTGGGCACAAAGGGACAAATGGTATATGATTCCACTTACATGAAATATCCAGAATAGTTAAACCGATAAAGACAGAAAGCAGATTAGTGGTTATCAGGGGCTGGGGAGAGGAGAAATGGGAAGTGATTGCTTCATGGCTATGGGGTTTCTTTTTGAGGTGATGAAAACGTTTTCAAACTACATAGAGGTGGTGGTTGCACAATATTGTGAAATGTACTAAATGCCACTGAATTGTTCACTTTAAAATCCTAAATTTTATGCTATGTGAATTTCACCTAAATTAAAAACCACACAGAAAAATGAAATGATGATTGACCATAAAGCCCTAGATGGACAGCAGGAAATTTTCTTTTTCTTGGTTTATCACAATTTCAACACACAAGTTTTTGACCATTTAAATGAATTATTAAAAAAAATTACCCATTAAAAGTTCAAAAAAGGCATTAATGTAGCTGAGGTCTCCTAATTTGTCCCAGTTGGCACAGCACCTAGTAGCGTTTACAGTATACAAGAAGCTGTAAAAAAGGTTTTTAATTTGTATAAAGTGCAAAGAAAAAGAATATTGAGGAAGAATATAAAATGGCCAGAGCCTAGGAAATAGGCTAACATACATGCATATGTACATATCTATATATTTGAGCATGCAGATGGATGTAAACACTCAGGAGAGAAACCTGTTTTTCCTTACAACTTAGTGTTTCTCCAAAAACTTTAGAGTAAATAGTAGCTTGCAATCACCACCCTCTGGGTTTCAGCAAGAGGTCACACACAGGGAGGGCCTCTAGCTGCCATTTCCTATTGCTTCCCTGGTGAGACAACACTGGAGGTTGAGTCATTTCAGAAGACTCTCAACAGGGCTCCCATTGTTCCAAGCTCAAAACTCAGAGACACAATGGGCCCTATTCATAGGGAGAGCATACAGGCTAGGGAATGGTCCCTTAGTATAGTGTCAACTTTTTGTTGGGACATCAAATTTTCATAAATACTTGCACAAATACGTGTTAATTATTATTATTTTTAAAACAGTATAAAGAAATAAAACTCAATGAACACTAAACTGGGAGCCAGGACACTGAGTCTTATCCCTGGCTCTGTCTCTAATGTGACTTTAAGCAAGTCATTTGTTCTTCTCAGCCTCAGTTCCCTTGTTTGTAAAATGAAAATGATTTCTAAGGTCACTTAGAACTCTAAAATTCTATGACACATATGAGGTCTATTGATGTTGCTACACTATTTACTATAACGAGTAAAGTTGTCAGCAGGAAAGAATCATTAGTTCACATCTTTTCATTCACTCTCAGCACTTACAAACAAGGAGTCTTAATAAAAATAGGCAGAGAAACTCCATTTTCTTTTCTCTCTCTTAAACAGACAAATTATAATGAATAAGATCCAGTGAGTCTCTCTGTCCCAGCAAGTCCAGGATCACTTACAAAGGTAGCTCTAAACAAAGCACAGTGATGAAGGGCATCAACAGAAGCCACCTGTACATTTTTATGTCACCTTTTCTTAAGTTATTAATGCAGTTTGAGAATCTTTTGATTTCTTTGCAATGACTTAAAATCCCCAGAAGAAAAATGTCATTTCCAAGAATGTGATCAATGTCCTCAAGATTCCACATCATGTCATTTTTTGGTTTTTTCAACCTCAAAACTTGCCAAAGCAAGGACTTTGTCTCCAGAGCCTAAGGAGAAAGACACACAATTAACAAAAAGGTTACTTCAAATGCATCTACAGTTGCAGGTAAAAAGAGAAAAATCTTTCACACACATAGTGAAATAGAAAATAGAATCCGTGTCCATTTTCAGTGCATTAACCCCTACCCTTCTGCTGCCATCACAATTTCCTTCCTTCTGCCCAAACAATCCTGCTACACACATAGGGTGACTTTATTGGTTATAAATTCTGACTCCAGCTCAAGTTATGTAATATGTAAAATTTTTGTTTATTTTTATAGTTACATTTAGCTAACAAATAGTAAAAAAGAAAAAAACTAGACTGCATGAAATGTAATTATTTTGAATAAAAAATGTTGGGAAATAAAACCAATGAATTAGATTTATAAAGAAAATCATTCTGGTTTTACTGCTAAACTCAAGAAAATGTCATTTATCTCCACCACACTGCCCTTTAGTCTGGAGTGATAATACATATCCAGCTTTCAGAAATATGAAGGCACTCACCAAGATCTGTAGAGACTTTCTCAAACTGGCTAAGTATAGCACCTGCATTTGCTGACAAGAAGGCCTCATCATCTGCAGTCAGCTAAATAAAACAAAACAAACTCCAGTCTAGTGTGTTCAAATGTTACAACTGGTTCTAAGAACCACGGTTAAGAATGTCTCAGGACTACAAACTAGATCATGGATCAAAAAGTTCTGTACCAAAAACTTCACAATTTTTCTTTATAGCTAATATGTTACATGAGATACTGGTACCTTCTCTCCAAGTTTCCTGAGAGCTGTTAGTATTTCCACTTTCTGCTGAGTGTACAGGTCTCTTTCCAGCTTTCCTACCATCAGATCTCTATCCATCTATAGTGGATAAATAAAAAGCACACAGTGTTTAAGTGAGAAAAATATTCTCTGCTTAAAATCTAGCTTGTCAGACCTAGTTCTTAAAAAAAATAGTCCTCTAACTGATTAATATTATGAAGAACTATAGAAATAATTCAAGGCAGACATGACAGAAATGATTTTACACAGTTCTAATAAACATTAATGCTAATCAGAATCATTTCCTGTAGTTCCCAACTTACAATGTATTCGAATTACAACAAACTGCGCTTACGACCATCTGTTTTTTGGGGTACACCTTATCGTTAGTAATATGTACTACATACAATGCTGCAGCGCAGAAAAGGACCATACAGCCAACTGTCATTAATTTTCTGACTAGCAACACCATCCTTATTCCCAGGGATAATCCAGGTGAACCAGAACCTTCCACAAGTGGAGTTACTATCACAACTGACAAAATGCCAACATTGTCCATTTTTTCATGGATGTATTTTTTTATGTATGTATGTATTAAAATATATCTGTAAGTATATGTAATGTTTCCCACCCCCAAAGATTTATAAAGATACTGATAATAAAAGGCAATGATAATGAAAACTAAAAACAAAAACAAAAACGAGGTATTCGACTTACGTCTGACGACAGAATGGAATCATAAATTGGGGACTATCTGTATTTTAGTTATAGACTCTACTGAAGAAATAGTAGGTCAGTAGCTTCCTTTATAAAGAAGCTATCTTTTAAGAACTCATTTCATTAAACTGAAATGTGGTCTGTAGCTTGAATGGAAAAACTGGTATTAGATCTTCTGGAACTGAAGTTAAATATCATCCCCACCACCAGAAACACTGATAGTGTGTACTACGCATTGTTACTATTCTAAGTGCTTTACCCATTACCATTGCTGTTGGGTCGATTCCAATTCATAGCGACCCTGTAGGACAGAGTAGAACTGCCCCATAGGGTTTCCAAGGCTGTAATCTTTAAGAAGCAGGCTGCCACATCTTTGTCCCATGGGGCGGCTAGTGGGTTGGAACCACCAATCTTTCAGTTAGCAGCTGAGTGCTTAACCACTGTGCCACCAGGGCTCCTTCTAAGTGCTTTACACATATTAATTCATAATCCTCATGACAACCATAAGTTAGAAACTATCATTATCACCATTTTACAGAAGGAGAAGATGAGGCACAAAGAGGTTAAATAACTCGCCCAAGGTTACACACCTTAGTAGTGGAGCAGGGATTCAAATCCAGTCAGTCTGACCCAAGTCCATGCTCTTAACCACTCTGCTACTGAATTACCCATGGTTACAAATTAACTCGTTAATGCCTCAATTATATTCAAGTCTATAAACAGACTTCCTGAAATACCAGGTCTATAAAGGTCTTAGAGAGTCTTAGATGAGAGATGCCATATAAGCATAAAGCAACACTGCTAATGAATTCCAAATGGGATTTAAACTTGGGGTTCCAGAAGTAAAGGTAAAACCTTAAAGGTGGAGTACAAGTTGAAGTGGTCCGTGGGAATTTAAACTGCCATGTGCTGCTTTGACTTCTATGTTCCTTTTCAACCACAATTGCTCAAAGGACTAATTTGTCAGAAAATTGTGAGCTGCTGCTCTAAATTCAAGTGATCAATATTTAAACTTTAGAATATCATATTGAACAAACTCTCAGGCTGCGAAAAGAAACAAATACAGAGCTCAGACCAATTTAAAGAAACTTTACCTCTGCCAACCTTGTCCGAAGCTGACCTGGTTGTTTCTTTGCAAACAATCTGATGACCTCTGGAGTTTTAAAGGCCTGGCTGATAGCTGCCTGGATAGCCTAGAAACACAGAAAGGCAAAAACCAACCAAAATATTCCAGTGAATCACACTGCATATTACAGTAATAGTTAAGAGAGTACACATACAAAGCAAACCACTAAGAGACCATTCATATACTCAGTCATTGATAAGTCTTTGTTCATTAAGCACTGTTACAATTTTAGTTCCCATCTGCTATTTCCATGCATGTCACTACAGCCAAATATCAAACTAAATGAAGATCTGGACATACGTACTGTTTTATGCAGAAGTAGATACTTATCTAGAAGTTATACCAAAAAATAGGGTGCATTTCCTATCTTAACTACACTTACAAAAAAGAAAGAAAATAATATACCAACTCCGTAATCAATGTAAGTAAACTATGCTTACCAGTTGCATTCCACTTAGTTCATCTACCAAAGTCATATTTCCAGACATAATCTTCTTCAGTGAATCATTAAATTCACTTAGCTGTTCTAACGTTTCCTTTTTGGTTTCTTCATATTCCTCTGTATCAAGTTCCTCTCTAGAGTACATTGAATATCATAATATAAAAAAAAAAAGTTCCAAGTGAAAAAAGCAATTTTAATACTGCATACAAAAATTACACGTATAAATATATATATATTTACAAAAATATATACATATATATATTTACAAAAAATATCCTAGGGAAAAAGGCAGGAAGTAACTATCAAAATGCTAATGATGGGTGTCTTCAGATAGTAGCAGCATGGACATTTTCCTGCAATGTGGCCACTTAGATAATAAAGCATTTTTATTTTACCAGAATGAAGCACATTTAATAAACTTCCTTTAAGTGGACTAAGAATCAATGGTATAACCTTGGGCAAACCTCGGTTTACCTGTAAGTTGCAGATAATGATGTTGCTATTGTTAGCTGCCACTGAGTTGGCCCCAGAAACATGCACAATGGGATCAGACTGTTGTGATCCATAGAGTTTTCACTGGCTGAATTTTCCGAAGTAGATTGCCAGGCCTCTCCTTCTAGTCTGTCTTAGTTTGGAAGCTCTGCTGAAACCTGTTCAGCATCATAGGCCTCCACTGACCGACAGTGGCTGCACTGGCCGGGGAATCAAACCTGGGTTTCTGACACAGAAGGTGAGAATTCTACCAATGAACTACCACTGCCCATCCCTCACTCCCAGGCAGATAATGACAATCTCTACCTTATAGGGTTGCTATGAGAATTAAATGAAATATGGAAAGTGTTTAGCATACAATGTTGTTGTTAGGTGCCCTCGAGTTGGTTCCAACTCATAGTGACCCTATGTACAATAGAATGAAACACTGCCTAGTCCTGTGCCATCCTTACAATTGTTGTTACACTTGAGCCCATTGTTGCAGCCACTGTGTCAATCCATCTCATTGAGGGTCTTCCTCTTTTCACTGACCATCTACCTTACCAAGCATGTTGTCTTTCTTCAGAGACTGGTCCCTCCCGATAACACATCTAAAGTATGTGAGACGAAGTCTCGCCATCCTTGCTTCTAATGAGCACTCTGGCTGTACTTCTGAGACAGATTTGTTTGTCTTTCTGGAAGTCCATGGTATATTCAATATTCTTTGCCAACACCATAATTCAAAGACATATAATAGGTACTTGATAAATAGCTGTTATTATTATCATCATCATTAATGGTAGTACCTGGTATACCTTGAAATATAACAGCAATGTAGTACTTACATTAATGGTTACCTGAATAAGAGGGCAATTTTATTTAGTCTAACAAACTATTTATTAAACATTTACTGCAAATAGCAATAGCTACCATTTACTTTGGGCCAAGTATTGGCCCTTCATTTGTAATATTTAAAATAACCTTGCCAGGTTGTTAGAAACTTCAGTGAATAGTCTTGGTCCTTTGAGCAATTAAGTGTGAAAACACATAACAGAAGTTCAAGTAGCATCTTCTCAGTTGATACCAGTCAGGGCTGCTTCAAATACTAAAGACAGATAGGTATTGATATTTCCACTTCACCCATAAGGAAATGGAAGCTTAACGAGGTTAAGTAGTTTGCCCAAGTTCACACACAGTTAGTAATTGAAAGGCTTTCATATCTTAGCCTTTATGATTCCAAAGCTTGTGCAGAGTTTCTTTCACCAACAAAGCACTGTGAAGAACACCACAGGGGAAACCAAAATCACACATGGGCCTGTACCTACAGAGTTTGTAATTAATCTTATTGCAGAAAAAAAGTCGTTTTACAGCATAACAACATACAATTATATGATTACCTGCATTCCTCCAGATCTTGTAATTGCTGCATTAGTCTATCCAACTGTTCTTCTAAGTTCTGCTTTAATTTGCTTGTCTCTGTCTTTCCTCTGGAAGCCATTTTAATCTCTATGTAGAAAAAAAAAACCAATTACAGTGCACCATATTTGGTTATTTGAAGTAATTCAATAGACTAGTGCAATTTAAAATAGTCTCCACCTTTTTTTTTATTGTTGTAGTTTAAGTCAAAGTTTACAATTCAAATTAGTCTGTCATACAAAAATTTATACACTCATTGTTATATGACCCTAATTGCTCTCCCTATATACTGTGACATAAAATGGGCTATACTGTTTTTGAACTTGAGGTGTGAAAAAGATGGTTACATAAAGAAAACCTCAATTTAGATATAAATTTAAACCTATATAGTAACATTCCACAAAAATTCCTGACACTACTCTTAAATGACTTGACAAATCAATTAGAAGACTTCACTGTTGGTCCATCTTACTTTAAATAAATATGATAGATGAAAATGCAGATCTGTAAAGAAGTAGACTGGTGTGACTTTGCTTTATAAAAAGATTCATTATAGCATTCTTTTAAATTTTTAATAAGTACTGGTCTTTTAAAAAACTTTTTATTAAAGTATAACATTCATATAGAAGAGTACACATAAATGTACAAATAAATTTTCACAAACTCAGCATACCTCAGCAACCAGCACTCAGATCAAGAAACAGAACATTCCAGGATTCGGAACACTCCTAGGGCTATCTTGTTGTTCTTATATGCATTTACCTAACGACTTTTGAGAACGAACATCTTTTGATATGTATTTCTTCTTCGGAAATGTGTACATTTTTCCACTGGACTATCTTTCCCTCACTAATTCATATGACATAGATGTGAAAACTTTGTAATTATGAATATTTCTTGTCTCCTGACTTTAAATTCATGATGTTGTCACAGATAAATTATTATTTTTTAATGGTCTTATCTTTCTCGTCCTTTAAGTCTTCCGAGTTTTGTGTCCCATGAAGGCAGGTCCTACCCATTCCAAGATTTATAAAAATATACTTGTTTTTAATACTTTCATAAATTTTCTTTTTACATTTAGCTCTTTAAGCTATCTGCAACTTTTTTTTGTTTATGCTTATGAAATAGGAGTCTAACTTTTCTTTTAAATGGATAGCCAACTGTCCTAACACCATCTACTAAACAGCCCATCCTTTATTCATTGATCTAACATGCCACCTTTATTGTAAGTCAAATTCCCAGAGTCAAGTCTGTTTCATTGATTATATTCTGGTCCTAAGCCATTATCTCACTATTTTAAGTAACTTTATGGCTAGTGTATTTTTTATCTTTATTGTACTTCAGGTGAAGGCTTACAGAACAAATAGTTTCTCATGAAACAGTAGTACACATATTGTTTTATGACACTGGTTAACAACCCCACAACATGTCAACCCTCTAACTTCTCAAACTTTTTTTGGTGAAAATACAGATAGCCAAAGATACACCATTTCAAAAATTTCTACATGCACAGTTCAGTGACATTGACTACGCTCTTCCAATTGTGCTGTTATTCTCACTTAAGATGAAGGCTTACAGAACAAAATAGTTTCTCATTGAACAGTTACTACACATGGTGCCCTATGACAATGACAATGGTTAACAATCTCACATCAACAATATCCTTATTTAACCTTGGGTTCCCTATCACCAGCTTCCTTGTCCCCTTGTGCCTTCTGGCCCTTCTCACTGGACTACTGTACCTCATTAGTCCCATTTGGTTTTACGGGGCTGTCCACTCCCAGGCTGAACGGTGAACCTCGGAGGTAACTTCACCACTGAGCTAAAAGGGTGTCTGGGGGCCATACTCTCGGGGTTTCTCCAGTCTACTTTAGGCCAGTAAATCTGGTCTTATTTTTGTGAGTTAGAATTATGTTCTACATCCTTCTCCAGCTCTGTCCAGAACCCTCTGTTGTAATCCTGGTCAGAGCAGTCAGTGGTGGTAGCCAGGCACCATCTAGCTGTACTGGACTCAGTCCGGTGGAGGCCTTGGTAGCTGTGGTCCATTAGTCCTTTGGACTAATCTTTTCCTTGTATCCTGTTCTCTTTATTCTCCCTTGCTTGCGAAGGGATGAGACCAGTGGAGTATCTGAGATGGCCGCTCACAGGCTTTTAAGACCCCAGACACTACTCACCAAGGGATAATGTAGAACATTGTCTTTATAAACTGTGTTATGCCAATTGAGCTAGATGTTCCCCGAGACCATGGTCCCCACAGCCCTCCGCCCAGCAATTCAGTCCCTCAGGGAGTTTGGATGTGTCTATAGGGCTTCCATGACCTTTCCTTGTACAAGTTGTGCTAGTTTCCCCAGTATTGTGTACCGTCTCACCCTTCACCCAAGACACTAGTTATCTATTGCCTATTTAGTATTCCACCCCCCACCCCATCCCTGGTAACCAACAAAGATTGTTACATTGTGTGTGAACTTTTTCATGGGTTTTTACAATAGAGGTCTCATACAGTATTTGTCCTTTTGTGATTGACTTATTTCACTCAGCATAATGTCCTCCAGTTTCATCCATGTTATGAGATGCTTCACAGATTCATTGTTGTTCTTTCTCGTTGCATAGTACTCCACTGTATGTATGTACCATAGTTTGTTTATCCATTCATCTGTTGATGAGCATCTAGGTTGTTTCCATGGTTTTGCTGTGTGAACAATGCTGTATGGCTAGTGTATTTTTGATAACTGATAAGGACTTGCATTTTTTCTTATTTTTTTATTGTGGTAAAATATACATAACATTAAAATTTACCATTTTAACCACTTTTTTATTTTTGTTTATTGTTGTAGTTTAAATGAAGTTTACATTTCAAGTTAGTCTCCCATACAAAAATTTATACATACAGTGTTATGTGACCCTAATTGCTCTCCCCATACTGTGACAGCACACTCTTCCTTTCGACTCCTGATTCCCCAATGTCCATTCAACCAGCTCCTAACCCTCTCTGCCTTCCCATTTCACCTTCGGACAGAAGCTGCCCATTTAGTGTCTTATATCTACTTGAGCTAAGAGGCACACTCCTCACGAGTATCACTTTATGTCCCACAGTCCAGTCCAATCCGTCTGAAAAGCTGGCCTCGGAAACTGTTACAGTTCTGGGCTGATAGAGAATCTGGGGGCCACGCTTCCCGAGGTTCCTCCAGTCTCATCCAGACCCTTAAGTCTGGTCTTCTTACTAGAATTTGAGTTCTGCACCCCACCTTTCTCCCGCTCCATCAGGAACTCTCTGTTGTAACCACTTCTGAGTGTACAATTCAGTAGCATTAAGTTAACCATCACTACTAAATTTCCAGATCTTCTTTATCGTCCCAAACAGAAACTCTATACCCATTAAACATTAACTCCCTGTTATCCCCACCCCGGTAAACTTTTATTTTACTTTCTGAGTTTATTAATTTGTCTATTCTAGGTACCTCAAATAAATGGAATCATACGATATTTGTCTTTTTTGTGTCTGGCGTATGTCACTTAGCTATCTTCAAGGTTCTTCCATGTTGTAGCATGTATCAGAACTCCATTCCTTTATATGACTGCATAATATCCCACTGCATGTATATATCACATTTTGTTTATCCATTCATCTGCTGATGGACACTTGGATTATTTCTACGTTTTGGCTAATGTGAATAGTGCTATTACAAATATTGGTAGGACTTGCCTTTTATTATTGTTCTTTTTTTTCAAAAAATTCTTGACTATTGTTATACATTTTTTTCTTCTAGATAAATTTGAGAATTAGCTTGTCAAGCTCCATTACAATTCCAGCTGAAATTTTGACAGGGATTACGTGAATTTAGAGACTAACAAGGAGAAAATCTGTATATTTGCAATTTGAATCTTCCTATCAAGAAATATCTCTCTCCATTTGTCTAGGTCTTCTTTTATGATCTTCAGTTCTTGGTAAAAAAAAGTATGGTTTTATTCACATAGGCCTTGAATACTGGCTATTCCTAGATGTTTTGTATTTTTTGTTAATATTGAAAATGAGGTTTTCTGTTATTACAATTTCTAGCTGATTATTGCTGATGCAGAGAAAAGCTACTATTTTGGTGTGTTGATATTGTATCCATTTACCTTAACATTTATAGCATTAAGTTTTTCCATTTATAAAAATTAAATTTATATTCCTTCCAGGAAACACATTTTGCTTAATATTAGGTATAACCATTCATCAAAACTAAAATCTTAGGATAACTTATAAAAAGCATTTTATATTTTCCTGCATATAAAGAAATTATTACTAGATGATTTGATATGATTTAATGTGAGATATTTGGTTTGATATGAAAAGGCTTCCTCACATTGATTCAAAATAGAATGCAATTAAGTAAAAATTTATTTTATAATGCCCTACCTTTTAAAGTCAGCTTATATCATCAAGGGTCATTTTATCATATGCAAATATAAACAAGCTACAGAAGTGTAATTTATCATAGCTGTATTCTGTATACAATAGTTTAGTGGGTTTCTCCTGGAAATTCACATTTACATTTTTATTTGTTATCAGCTGAATTTTCAGGTGAGAGTCAAGGCAAACACAAAACGAAAGTAAAAGTGTCTTTTCAGGCTTAATTTCCTACAGTCCAACCACACTGGGACTACTTGCCATTTCAAAACATGCCATGCATTTTTTCATCCTTCCCTTTTGAGTCTGTATTTTTTCTACTTACCAAGCCCAGGTCATCTACTCTTTGAGGTCTAGCTCAAGTGTCACCTTCTGCATAGTACCTTCCTTGAGTCTCTTCCAATTACTAGGTTGTGAGTTTATTTAAGAGTAGGGATTTTGCCTTTTGTTTATGCCCCAGCATCTAGTACCATGCTGGGCAGACTGGTAAATAAATAATAATTAACTGCTTCTTCCTCTGCATTCCACATCTTATTCTCTATTGAGCACTTATTTCTGCCTTGAATTATATGCGGATTTCATTTGCACACGTTGTTTGTCTGTCTTCTCCAGACTGTAAACTCTGAGATTAGAAAACGTGTCTGATTCCTCTCTTAGCCTCTTCAGTACCTAATACAGAATAGGTATTTGATTATTGCATAAAGTATATAAAGGCTTAATGTATTTTAGGGGGCTAAAGCTATTCTGAATAAATTTCAGGGAAGATGGGGGCACTTTAAAAGGCATAACCTGGTGCTATAAATTTGAGATTTATCCCTGAAAGATTAACTCGCTGGCACCACCTAGCGTTCAATCAAGGTGGTGCACCTTTTACCAAAACGGCAGGAACAGTTCTTAAACACCGTAATCTGGAGTGGAAGGCGCTCATTCATGCTCACCTGCTTCTTAGTACTTTTAATTCTGTACAGTGCTGACTAGTTTCAAATTGCGTAAACCTTCAATTCTTGCAGTTCCAAGGGTTATAAATTTGAAAAAAGCTAAGTTGTTCATCAGGACTACAAGTGGCTCAAAGTTCAAACCACCTGGGGGTGGAGTTGGCTGGAAAAAGGGAAACCATTAACAAGTAGTTTTATCCGTCATAACTTGCACTTGAGCTGCCTGAAATTGAAACACGCCTCTCCTCCCCCCAGGAAGGCACAATAGGGGTGGGTGTGGGTGGGGGGAGAAACCTGTTTTCTCCCTCGATGGTGCCTCCGGCAGCCTATCTGAGGTCTTTCCTAGTGAGCCCCTGGGTGTCACTGCGGAAAACTCCGCACATAGTGACGCCTTCAGGGAAGTTGTCAAACTTAGCAGCGGAAAAGGCAAGGGCAGAAAGGACACCTTTTTCGGACTGGAATCGAGCTGCGTTTGGACCAATCTCATTTGGACTAGCAGCTCCGACCACGACCCCCAAATCCCATCTCCCGAGGGAATCTGAGGCTCCCGCACTTCCGTCCCGCGGCAGCTGGGATCGACCAGGCCCCGGTAGCCGCCAGACTTTGCCGTGAACCCGCGTTCCTCGATACTCTTTCCAGTCCTCCCGAACAATTCCTTGACAACCTCCTCACGCCCCCGGGGTCCTCTCTCCACCTACCCCCGCCCCACTGTCCCAGACTTTGGAGCAAGGGGCCCCGCCTACCTGAGGGCCTGAGACTGGAGGACGCAGGCAAGAGGAACACTTCCGCCGGATGCGTGCTCTTCCCGGCTCCTCGACCAATGAGGATGCCGCAGAAGGTGTTCCCCTAGTTGGCGTCCGAGCCGCGGGTCGTCCCACAGAGGACTCTGGCCGGTTGGCGGATGAGGGTACGGTAAGCGCCTTCTCCCCAAGCCCTGGAGAAACTGGGTTCGTGGGGGGTCAGTCCGGGATCCCTTTTTGTCACAGGTATTGGGAGTCCAAGATGGAGGGGGATCTTTGAGAGTACCCGAACAGTGGCTTCACTAGGGTTGGTGTCACCCAGTGTGGTAATTCATGGTGTCACCCATCCCCCACCCCCCCATGGCCCGCTTCCTGTACCAGACCATACAAAATCCTTAGTAATGTTTTTTGTACTGTTACTCGTAAATCATAATTCCTGTATATCACTTCTTTTCCCTTAATTACGATTTCATTCTCAAAAAAGTTATTGTTATAGGTTCATAAATACTAATTACCACAATATTGTAGCTGCAACACCAGAAAATTTGACAAAATCAGCGACTGTAAAAACACTGGCAGCAACCAAAACGCGCTGTCTGCTGTGCAAGTGAAACCACGTGATTCAAAGGGTCATTATGATTGGGTGATAATGACAGCTCTGAATTGAGGGTAGTAGAAGGTTCTAAAGTAAATTAGCATAGAGTTTTAGCTTTGTAAGTATGTTGATACATGTAAGCTGGGTTTATGAAAAATGTTTTGTTGTTATAACTACCTACAGGAATGTTTTTATAAAAAGTAATCAATTTCTGCTGAAACTGCACAAAAATTTTACAGACAGTCATTTTGGTGTCACCCCCTCTGACAGTGTCACCCCCTCTGATCTGCACCCCTCTGGTGATGCCACAATCCCTCAGGTAAGGTCATATTCAAGTTTGGGGCTAAGGCTCTTGCCTCTTAATTCTTTTGATCTTTGTGGAACCAAAAGCCTCAGTAAACTTCATTCTAGTCTTCAGAATGGGTGAATCCTCCAAAAACAAAAATCCCTTTCTAGAGGCTCTTTGAGGCTGTTACCTCTCAGGCTTGGCCTGGAAAAGGGGGATCCTCCATTCTGAACCACTTCTCTTTCCTCCTAAATCGCTCTTTCCAGAGCTGTAAAAAACTAGATCAGCTTTCTCAGAAGCGATTCGACACTCCCACCTCTTAAGAGGGAAGTAACTAGTTGTTGGACAGCACTTTAAAAGTTATCTAGAAATTGTGTGTAAATCATTTTTCTGCTATTCTAAACCCATCTCCCCGAACAGTCAGTAGTCCACAGGACAACGTCAGGATTTACAGCAAAATTATTTCAGGGATATTGTCTTTAAAGTTAGTTATAGTTCAGCCTGCCAGGACAGACTTCCGACTAAGATTACCATTGAGCTCTGCTAGAAAGAATTGTTTCTGTCACTTCTGTCTGATTGTAGAATTTCTTACTTATTACCATAAGTTCTTTTTCAGAGTTATAATTTGGATATGAAACCACTTTTCTAGCCCACCTCCGGTAAGACTGTTGACAAACTGCTTGGAATGGCTCCAATAGCCTGCCTTACAAAATGCTTTAGGTTCAAAAAATTTCTTTTGTAAATGTAAGTGACAGTTACGTTAATGTGATTATCTTTAATTTTTAATCTGTGAATATGTGTGGAAGTGCCTGCATTTGAGTAGAATTGGACTGTCAGTGACATATAAGTAGGATCAGGGTCAAACAAAACAAAACTGGAAAATATGCTTCTTTCTTTCACTGTTGGAAGAACTTGCTGAGTAAACACTTGCTCACAATGTACTTCTAATTTTGATGATGATAATACAATGTTCCATTCAGGCAGTTGTACTGGTTTTAGTGCATGCAACCTTAGAACCTGTGTAGCAAAGGCCTTACCATATACAGACATTTTATTTGCCCCTCTTCATTCTCATTGACTTAATCTGATTCAGTGGTTTTATAATTGAGGGTGTTCTTATATATTTTTGGATTCTTGTTTAGAATTAATGGATAATGAAAAAAGTATTCTTAGAGCATAAGTAAGAGAAATTGGTTAGGATTCCAGTTCTCAAGCAAAAACAGCCTTCAGACAGGAGGCAGAGAAGAAACTAGAGAAAGGGGAATGATATGGTAGGTAAGTCGTCACAGGAGAGAGCACTGGGGAAAGTAACCCCAGAACTGGGAATCATAACTGGAAACTCAGACAAATGCTGCTCAGCAGCTGGAAATGTTTAGGACATGTTAGCTTGGACTTGGGATGGAAGCCCCAGGGGAATGCAGGCTGTTCCAGCTAGGTGAGGGGAATGTTGGGGCAGATGAGACTTTAGTGTCTGACAAAAAGTACCATGAACCAAAGGCTGTCTGAACCCCTGTCTTTTAAATGTCTACCAGTAGATAGCTTGTTCCATTGTAAGTCTTGTGTAATGGAGCATGAACTTGTAGAGTCAGGTATCAATTAGCTGTGAGATCTCAAGCAGGTTAATCAGCCTCTCTAAGCGTCAGCTTCCTAATCTGTAAGAACGGGATAATAATAGTACTTACCTCATTAGGTTGTGATAAAGATTATGTGACTGCTTAGCACGTGGCTTAGCATATAGGAAGAACTCAGTGAACGTGGCCACTGTTATTATTATCATCATCATCATCATCATAGTAAAATATGCAAAATTGGATATATATTTACATAGGACAGGCCCATCCAAAGAGATTGGTTGAATGTGTTGCCATTCAGTGAAGGGCACAGGAAATACAATGAGGATTCCACAAGCAGGAACCCTGAAGCTCTCCAGCCCTCTACCATCAATTCCCCACCCCACTTCCGCCTTCAGCTCGGTCAACTACTGATCTGCCTCTGTCACTGTAGATTAGATTCCCTTTTCTAGAATGTCATATAAATGGAATCATACAGTATATACTCTTTTGTGTCTGGCCTCTTTCATTCAAAGTAATGTCTGTGAGGTTTATCCACATTGTTTCTGTCAGTAGTTTTCTTTATAGTTCTGAGTAGTATTCCATTGTATGATGTATCACAATTTGCTTATTTATTCATCTGTTGATTACATTTGAGTTGTTTCCAGTTTTTGACTATTATGTATAAAGCCAAATTGTAAAAAAAAATTCTTCTTCTACCATTATTTTTAAGCTGTCCTGTTAATTTATACCTGAAATCCTTTCTCTGCAGCCCTCTTGGAACTTTCCTCCATCAGCTATTCACTTTCTTAAATAGCTTCCGTGGCTTCCTGATGCTGCTTTCCCCTCAATCTACCAGTGTTTAAATTCTCTTCTTTTAAAGCAAACCAAATAAATAACCTTCTCTTAACCATGATATCTCTTTAAATATAGTGTTCAATATCTCTGCGGTTTTATTACCAAGTTCTAGTCTGGCATCTTGTTAAAGTGCAAATTTTGATAAAGTAGGTCTAGAGTAGAGCCTGAAAAACCTGCATTTCTAGCCAGCTCCCAGCTGCTGCCCATACTGCTGGTCCACTTTGAAATACACATCTCTAGAGGGCTCAGTCCTTGACTTTTTCTCTGTCTTCACTCACTCCCCTGATAATGTCATCCAGTTTTGTGGCTTCAAATACCGTCTATATGCAGATGACACCAAATGTCTAGTAAATCTCTAGTATGGACCTCTCCCTTGAACTTGGGTCTGTTCTCCATTTGCCTACTTAACATCACCTCTTGGATATCTAATGTTGTTTTTAGGTGCTGTCGAGTTAGTTCCAACTCATAGCGACCCTATGTACAACAGAATGAAACGCTGCTGAGTCCTGCGCCATCCTCACAATGGTTGCTCTGTTTGAGCCCATTGTTGCAGCCACTGTGTCAGTCCATCTTGTTGAAGATCTTCCTTTTTTTTGCTGACTCACTACTTAACAAGCACGATGTCCTTCTCCAGAGACTGGTCCCTCCTGATAACATGTCCAAAGTACATGAGACAAAGTCTTGCCATCCTGTCGTCTAAGAAGCATTCTGGCTGTACTTCTCCCAAGACAGATGTATTCGTTCTCTGGTAGTCCATGGTATATTCAGTGTTCTTTGCCAACACCATAATTCAAAAGTGTCAGTTCTTTGGTCTTCTTTATTCATTGTCCAGCTTTCACATGCGTATGAGGGAATTGAAAATACCATGGCTTGGGTCAGGTGTACCTTTGTCCTCAAAGTGACATCTTTACTTTTTAACACTTTAAAGAGCTCGATGGTGCAGCGATTAAGAGCTCAGGCTACTAACCAAAGGTCAGCAGTTTGAATCCACCAGCCGTCCTTGGAAACCCTATGGGGCAGTTCTACTCTGTCCTACAAGGTCACTATGAGTCGGAATCGACTCTACAGCAACAGATTTGGTTTTTTGCAACAGGTTTGCCCAATGCAATACGTCATTTGATTTCCTGACTGCTGCTTCTGTGGACATTGATTGTGGATCCAAGTAAAATGAAATCCTTGACAACTACGATCTTTTCTCATTTATCATGATGTTGCTTATCGGTGCAGTTGTGAGGATTTTGTTTCCTTTTTGTTGAGGTGCGGTTATACTGAAGGCTGTAGTCTTTGATCTTCATTAGTAAGTGCTTCAAATCCTCTTCACTTCGAGCAAGCAAGGTTGTGTCATCTGCATATCTAATAGACATCCCAAATTTAACATCCCTATAAGCTGAACTCCTGATCTTCTTCCCTAAACCTGTTCCATGGCTGTCTTTCTCTCCTTAATTAAAGGTAGCTCTTCTTTTATTTGTTTAGGCCCAAAACTGTGGAGTTAACCATGACTCCCCTTTCTCTCACAGCCCATATTCTATCCATCAGCAAATCACATTGACTTTACCTTCAAAATATATCCAGAATCTAATAACTTCTCACCACTTCTGCTGCTGCCACTCTGGTCTAAGCTGTCATCAGCTCTTACCTGGATTATTGCAGTGACCTCCTACCCAGTGTCCTTGCTTTCACCCTTGTTTTCCCCTACAGTCAGTTCTCAACTTCAGCGACTAGAGTGATCCTTTTAACATAAATCAGATCATGTCATTCTTCTACTCCAAACCCTGCTGCGGCTCCCTATTACCTCTCTGACTGCATTGCCTGGTACTCTCCCCCTCACTTACTCTGCTTCAGCCATTCTGTCCTTCCTGCTGCTTCCAGAGTATGACAGGCGTGCTCCTGCCTTAGGACCTTTGCACTGTTTGCTTAGAAGTCTCATCCCTTAGGTGTATGCATAGCTCATTCTCTCGTCTCTTTCAATTCTTTGCTCAGATGTCACTCAGTGAGACCTTTCCTTGACCACCCTATTTAAAATTCTAGCACTCTCCTTTTTCCCTGCTGTGTTTGTCTCATAGCAGTTGTTATTTACTATTTCATATAATACAATATGCTTGGCATCCCTGGGTGGCATAAACATTTAAGCGCTCGACTACTAACTAAAAGATTGGCAGTTTGAATCTAGCCAGAGGCACCTCAGAAGAAGGGCTTGGCAATCTACTTCTGACAGATCACAGCCATTTGAAAACTCTGTGGAGCACAGTTCTACTCTGACACACACGAGGTTGCCATAAGTTGGAATCGACTCAATGACAACTTTTTTTTTTAATAAGCTTCTTTATTTTTATTGTTGGTTGTCTGTCATCCCTAGCTCCACACAGATAGCAAATTTTGACAGTTTTGTCTACTACTTTATTCCCAGCATCTACAGCATAGTAATTGCTGAACAGTGATGAAAGAATGAGCAAATATTTTTAAAGTGCACTAGGGACATCATTCCCTGTTGAAACCCTCCAATGCCCCCCCATTCCCTATGAGATAAAATCCAAACTTCCTAATATGGCACCTGAAGCCCTTCATGACCAGCTTTGTCACCCAACCGTCTCCCACCCAGATGCTTCACTCCAGTCTTACCAAAGTATTTGAGACATCAGTTTCTTGAAAGCTTTATTGTTGTATTAACTTTTAATAACATAAAGTGACAGATTTTTAAATTTTACTTATAATTGTACCACACTCAAACATTTTTATTTCTTTTTCCATTATCATACATTTTAAGAAGGAAGGTAAGCAGTAGATGAAAACAAGAATAAGTTCAGGTTCTCTCCCCTTCAAAGATCTTCTTTTCTTAGCTTGACTTATTTCTTCACTGACAGAAGAATTGAGAGAGTTTTCTCATATTTCAGGACAGGAAAATGTTATTTCACAAAAGTCTCATGCCAGGGTTACCAAGAATATTCTCAGAGTTATCCTGACTTTTTTGGTCTCTTGTTTTGTGTGCTCAAGCCCCTTCAAGCCCTTTGCTGTCAAGCTGATTCCGATTCGTAGTGACCCTACAGGACAGAGTAGAACTGCCCCATAGGGTTTACAAGGAGTGGCTGGTGGATTCGAACTGCCGACCTTTTGGTTGGCAGCCAGCCGTAGCTCTTATCCATTGCGCCACTGGGTCTCCTTGTATTTCGTGCAGGCATATTTATTAAGCAAGCATACTGTAGTGAGGAAAAAAATTAATAATTAGAGGTTTTTCATTTACTTTTAAGGTTTAATATTTGCGTAAAAAAGCAGAATGAACATAGTCCCATTTAAAATTTTTAAATCGTTGTGTAGTATTCCATTGTGTGGATATACCAT